AGTATTTGAAGTGTACAAGTTTAAGGTTTAAAATAATACAGAGAAATTTATTTGTTTGAAAATTGACTAATAAGTTGGCGTTTAGCCGTTTTGATGATGATTTTGGAAAGTGGTTCGATTCGATTCACTAATTGTTGTTCTTTATGAGTGAAGAGATTGAGGGAAATGGAAGGGGGGAGTATTGTAAAAGACCGTAAACAATCTCTACCTCTTTTATTCACAATTCACCTCTCTCTCTCTCTCTTTCTCTTTGACCATTTCTTTTATGAATTGGGGAAAGAAGAAAAGAAGTGGGAACCCAAGGCCAAACCAATTTCCAGAACGCTATGGTTGAAGAAGAAAGAATACCAAAAGAAAAATATGAAATGGGAAAACAGATCTTTCCTTTTTAAACCTTTTGCCCAAAATAGAAACGCATTCTTTCTGGTGGATTAGCTTGGGAAATGAGCGAGCAAAATAGGATGCATTTGCAAGTTAAGCATAAAATCTACATAGAAAAACACGAGAAAAAGTCGTCTTTGATATTTGATTACAGTAAACTAGGGAAAAGCGCGAAAGGATGCTTTAAAAGGCTTCTTTCTAACCGAATAAAAGTACTTACCGTAAATACTGTAATACAGGGTGCGGCCAAAATATCCGGCGATGAAAAGACCGACTGGTCTTCAGAAAATTAGCAGAAAAGCTTTATAGAATTTTACTGAAAATAACAACAACAGTCCAAATAACAAAATAAAAACAGTTAAATCTCAAAGTTTCCTCCTTTTTCCTTCATGCAAGCCCTAAGTCGCTTCTGCACATCGTCGACCGCGGCACGGAGAGTCTCAACGGGGATTTTTGCCCATTCCTTGATAAGGGTGGCTTTCAGATCATCCAAATTAGCATGTGGAGCTGATGAGACCTTTGCCTTCAAGATTCCCCATATGGCGAAATCCATAGGATTGATGTCAGGTGAATTTGCAGGCCATTCTTCCGGGGTAATGAAATCCACGTTTTGCTTGGCAAACCACTCCATGGTCTTTTTGCACGATGTGCTGGTGCAGAATCTTGTTGAAAGATCCAAGGTGCTCCAGAAAAGTGATTATCAGCCCAAGGCTTCATATGCCTCATCAAAATTTCTTTTTCGTAGTAATTTTGATCAATTTTCACACCTGGCTGCACAAAAACAAGAGGTGTTTTTCCATCAGCGGTCACCCCGGCCCAAACCATCAACGATTTTGGATGAGCCGATTTTTGGACAATTCTTCCCTGAGAATTTGCCGTGGCAACATCTTTTGTTAAAATCCGATTATTTTGCTTGTTGAATTCCTGCTCAATTGTGAATGGCGCTTCATCCGACCAGAGAACCCTCCGATGCGTGCCACCCTTCAAACGCCGCAACAAAACTTTGCATTTCTTAAGTCTTTGTTTCACTTATTTATCAAAAAAATAATTGAAACATATAAAAAAGAATAAAAAAATGCATAAACATAAAAAGAAGCGTGAATAAATGAGTTTTCGCAGTATTATGGCAAAAAGTACGTTCCGCCGGATATTTTGGCCGCACCCTGTAGTACCGCACCCCCTCGTACAGTCGCGTAGTCGCAAAAGTTTTTTAGTATTTCATTTTTTGCGAAGCGCCCGTATTTTCAAAAAATGTGTCTTTGGTATCAAAAAATAGCTGAAATTCAGGGCTATTTTTTGATACCTAAACGCGCATTGTAGCATAAACTAGTGTCGAGAAAAACTCATTCAAAGCTAGACGACGCAACACTCCGCATCGTCATTATGGGCGTGGGATACTATTACAGTATTTACGGTAGGTATTACGAAAGGAGATTGTAAGAGGTGCTCGCAAACTGCAGCAATTCAAACGCCGCGACAATCACGACAAGGAAACATTGAGGGGAAGCAAGTATGAGTTAAATATCATACTTCTAAACTGACTGTTTTTAGACACCAACTTCAATATTTTCGACAACTTCGGATACGCCACCGGATACAGATCAGGGTTCGGTCCTCGCAGCTTTTCAGAGTTTTTTCTTTTGAAGCAACTTCTAGCATTTTGCAACTAAGTGCATTATTATGTAGAAAAATGAATATAGATTAATCTCTTTCAAATGCAAAGACTATAAAGTAATCGTTAGCAATGATCTTTGGTATCAAAAAATAGCCCTGAATTTCAGCTTTCATTTGATACCTAAGCGCGCATTGTAGCATAAACCAGTGTCGAGAAAAACGCATTCAAAGCTAGACTACGCAACACTCCGCACCGTCATTATGGGGCTGGGGGTACTATTACAGTATTTACGGTAAGTAGCGTAATGGATAACGATTAGATCTGCCACACGCAAGATCAGGGCTCGGTCCTCGCAGCTTTTCGAAGGTTTTTCTTTTGAAGCAACTTCTAGCATTTTGCAACTAAGTGCATTATTATGTAGAAAAATGAATATAGATTAATCTCTTTCAAATGCAAAGACTATAAAGTAATGAAAATGAAATGGCTTTAGCAATGAAAAAGTTCTCTCCAATGAAGTAAAATGGTGTGACTTGTTGCGGTGGTGTGCCGATGCTCAATCCATCATCGAGAGGTGCGATGTGGTCTAAAAAGGGCAAGCATTCACCGCCAATCCATCATTTCCTTTCTTTGTGCATTTCTTTTTCATCCTTTGTGCCCCCCTTTTTCAGTTCTTTCTCACTTTCTCTTCCTGAAAACACGCTTGAATTTACGATAAGTACCCCCTAGGGTAATGAACAAAGAAAACTAGTGAATTTTTAAGTTTTCAATGTCTTCTTTTCACCTCAGACTGGATTTGAATTTGAAAAATTGAATACTGCACTGTTTTCTGTTTTCAAATTGAGTATCATATTCAAATTTTTATTTTATTTCTTTGCAAACAGGAATGAAAAGACTTTCTTAAGCAGAGTATTCAGTCAATTGACTGAATATCTTTTAACAAATTGTTAACTGAATTCAGCAATGGTTGTTTGGTTAATGTCTGTTTAGGGGGTAGGCTAATTTCCGTCATTTTATTTGCGCAACTGGGTCTTTTGCGCAACTCACCATAACTTTTTTTCAAGTGGATCAATCTTTATGATTTTGGTTTCATTTTGTTTATCTCAATAAGTGCAACAAAATAACACCAAAATCATAAAGATTGATCCACTTGAAAAAAGTTATGGTGAGTTGCGCAAACGACCCAGTTGCGCAAAAAGGACCCTGTTGCGCAAAAAAGTTGCGAAAACTAGCCTACCCCTCAATTTTTTTGCAATAATAAGATAGTGCTATTAATTATATTATGAATAGTATAAATATCGATATTTTATGCTGAAAATCAATTTAGGGGTAGGCTAGTTTTCGCAACTTTTTTTGCGCAACAGGGTCGTTTGCGCGACTCGCCATAACTTTTTTTTAAGTGGACCAATCTTTATGATTTTGGTGTCATTTTGTAGATCTCAATAAGTACAACAAAATAACACCAAAATCATAAAGATTGATCCACTTGAAAGAAAGTTATGGCGAGTTGCGCAAATAAAATGGCGAAACTGGCTAAAATGGCTTACCCCTCAATTTGATGAGATATTCAGCTATCGGTGAGTGACGCGCACTCGTCACTTCTTTGCACTTATTGAGATCTACAAAATGAAACCAAAATCATAAAGATTGATCCACTTGAAAGAGAGTTATGTTGAGTTGCGCAAAACAAAAGCCTACCCCGGAAATTAGCTCTGATTAGGTTGGTGACAATTTTAAATGCAAATTTTGACTAAAAGGAACCGTTTCTATTAATATACCTTTTAAAAAACTCTCCAAAAGTATTTAAATTTACTAGAAATTTTACTTTTTACTCTTAAATTTACTAGAGACATTTCATCTCTGCATTATACTTTCAAAGTTTTTAAAGTTTAGTTGAATATCTTTAGTTTTGATACGATCAAATGGAAAGCTATGAAAGCTAAAAAGTGTAGCTTTTAGCGACACTTTTTAGCTTTCACAGCTGTCCATTTGATTTTTAGCTACCCCTTTTTGTTCAAAATTCCCCACAAAACTAGAAGATATTCAGCTGAGCGACGACATTGAAAGTAGAATTTGCATTCAAGTTGCATTCAATTTGTAGTTTGCATTCAATTTCAATTTGCATTCAATTTGCATTCAATTTGCATTCAATTCTACTTTCAATTTGCCTTCAATTTACATTCAATTTGCATTCAATTCTACTTTCAATTTGCATTCAATTTGCATTCAATTTGCATTCAATTTGCATTCAATTCTACTTTCAATTCTAGATTCAATTCTACTTTCAATTTGCATTCAATTTGCATTCAATTTACATTCAATTCTACTTTCAATTTGCATTCAATTTGCATTCAATTTGCCTTCAATTTACATTCAATTTGCATTCAATTCTACTTTCAATTTGCCTTCAATTTGCCTTCAATTTGCATTCAATTTGCATTCAATTCTACTTTCAATTCTAGATTCAATTCTACTTTCAATTCTACATTCAATTCTACTTTCAATTCTAGATTCAATTCTACTTTCAATTCTACATTCAATTCTACTTTCAATTTGCATTCAATTTGCCTTCAATTTGCCTTCAATTTACATTCAATTCTACTTTCAATTCTACTTTCAATTCTACTTTCAATTCTACATTCAATTTACATTCAATTTACATTCAATTTACATTCAATTTGCATTCAATTCTACTTTCTGTGAAAGTCTAAAATCAAAATCACGCATTCAATTAATGAAATATTGTAGCTTAAATATCTTTTATTTTAGTAAAGCAGATTCATTCTTAAAAGTTTTTGAGGCTACTGTAGGCAAAAAGCTTTACAATAAACTTCAAATAGAAGATGAAATCAAAATTTTTATCTTTATACACTAAAGAAATCGTATTCGACAAAAAAAAAAAAAGAAAATTTGAGGCAAGCAGTTTAAAAAATTCCTTTAAAAGATATGCAAAATCGTTTTTCTAAAGCACTGAAAGCATTATTCAAAAAAACAAAAAAACAAATCAAAAAAATAACGAAATTTTGCGATTACGCAAGAATTTCCCAATGTCATTTCGGAGTTTCGGATTGCATTTAGCGTAAATGAAAATGCGAATCGCTGAACTGATCAAATAGGTGATTGAGACGGAATCCGATAGAATTATGTAGAAAGTTGAGGAGAGATTTGGATCGTTTGGATCCTGAAAGGAGATTGAAATGTAAATGAGATTGAAGTGTAAATGAGATTGAAATGAAAAGTGTTTACCGAGGCTTTTCCCCCTGCAACATCTCCTTTTCTTCCTAATCTTCTAATCTTTTTTTTTTTTGATCAAATAGAGTCCGAAATTTGACTGCGAATCTCTTTAATTGTATCAAGTGTTTAAGCTTATGCCTAAAGCTGTCAGCTGCCTCCTGTCTAATCATTCTCGATTTTTGATTAGAGAAATCTATTCGAGATAATTGTAGATGAAGCTAGATTTAAAAATACCGACTGGGGCTACCAGTGGTGAATTTATCGCATACACGAAATATATCAATCACAATACAACGACACACACAATACTAGGCTATATCTTAACTTAACCCACGTCATGACAGACGGCTCCCTAACCCTAAGCTCAATGGGGAACTAAATAGCTTTTTTGGTGGTGAAGGGAAGATGACGATGAAGGAGTGGCTTGTCACTTTAAAGAACTGGGGCCACAACCACCAGACTGCCCTCCAGAAAACCTCTCAACCCGAAGGGAAAGGAAATCCGAAGGGGGTGACCATGTCGCATGTGGGGTTCGAACCCTCGACCTTCCGATTAAGATAAAAGACACTTAACCAGTCAGCCACACGTGCATTTGGTTTAATTTAGTTCCAAAAAATACTCAGAACCTTTATTCTAGCTTTTTCCTCGATTATCGAACTTTAGATTCTTTATTGATGATCTTTATAAACTTTACAATTCAACAAACCTCTAGAAGATGCTTCTTGAATCTCTCCAAAAACGTGAGCAATAAATGTAAGCCGTTACAAACAAGATATGAGGTGACAATAGCCATCATTGTATAAATCGCGTTTCTCAGTTGAGCTCTTTTTCCTCGACAAGATCTAAACAATGAGATTTGGTAAATGAAGTTTTCTTCTTGTACAACTTTTATACAAATTTCAATCTCACCTGGTTATGAGTGATTCTTTAATGAGCTCGGTGGCTACTTCAAGTAACACGTAATTCTCCGGCATTACCGGTACCTGGAATATACTTTTTTTAGGTGTTAAACGATTGCATCAATTAAAGAAATTTCAACATACCAAATTTATCCTACCGTAAATAGTATAATAGTACCCCCTCGTACAGTCGCGTAGTCGCAAGTTTTTTCGTATTTCATTTTTTGCGAAGCGCCCGTACTTTCAAAAAATGCCTCTTTGGTATCAAAAAATAGCCCTGAATTTCAGCTTTCATTTGATACCTAAGCGCGCATTGTAGCATAAACCAGTGTCGAGAAAAACTCGTTCAAAGCTAGACTACACAACACTCCGCACCGTCATTATGGGGGTAGGTTACAGTATTTACGGTAGGCGCTGATAGCTCGGTGGTAAAGCATCTGCTTGGTAAGCAGAAGGTCGAGGGTTCAACTCCCTTCGCTTCCTCTTTGCCATTCATCTCTTTACTTTATCGGATAAACTAAAAGAATTCCATTTAAAGGACTTGTCGAATCGCCTTTGGTATCAAAAAATAGCTGAAATTCAGGGCTATTTTTTGATACCTAAACGCGCATTGTAGCATAAACCAGTGTCGAGAAAAACGCATTCAAAGCTAGACTACGCAACACTCCGCACCGTCATTATGGGGCTGGGGGTACTATTACAGTATTTACGATAGTAACTGTTTGTAACTATAGAGAATTTATGAATGCTTTAAAAAGCCAAATTTACAGCCAAATTCAATGCAAAATACTCGGGGGGTTTCCGGGATCGGGCAATCGATTGGAGCTGTTCATTTTATTGCATCTACTAATTGAAAGTCGGGGGTTTACCTTGGTTTAAACTTTTTACGTTAAATTATTCAAGACCTGGCTTCTCTCTACCTTTACTGCACCAGAATCCAGGCCAAAACCCTGACCAGATTGACCTTTTTTCAAACCCTAGGGTCTAGGGTTGGAGCCTGATTGTAAAGTTATCATAATTTAATGTTAATATTGTTTTTAAGTAGTTATACAAATCATTGTTTACCTGTTTATAATCTCCATTCACTGTGGACACTTTCTTCGCTGCTTCATAAAGAGTTGGTTGAATGGCAGCGTACATCTAAAAAAAAACCTTTTCTTTAAGATCTTTCCATTATTTTTATTAGTGATTGGAAAAGAACGCAAAAGGAAAATCTTTTTTTCTTTTTTCTCATGCTATTAAACTCGTGTTAATCAACATTAAACAAACTAAATAGTTTGAGAAAGCAAAAAAAAAATGCTGGTGATTGTCAAAGAAAAGAGCATTGAGCCTGTGTGAAAGAAAAGAGCAGTGTGTGAAAAAAAAAAAGAGAGAGAATGTGAAAGACTATGGTCAAAAGGTGAAAATTTTGGGAAAAATGGGAAAAAGCTGGGGAAAATGGTATAGTAACTAGATCTTTCAGTAGTTTTTTAGTAAATTTAGGTTCTGAAGTTTCGTTCAATGCTAGCAAAGTTGCTCAATTTTCTCTGGGATCCAGGCCAGGCTAGGCCTGGCTTTGCTACATCTTTGGGATCAAGGCCAGGCTAGGCTTGACTATCCTACATCTCTGGCATCCAGGAAAGGCTAGGCTTGGCTTTGCTACATCTCTGGGATCCAGGCCAGGCTAGGCTTGACTTTGCTACATCTTTGAATCCAGGCTAGGCTTGGCTCGCCTTTGCTACATCTCTGGGATCCAGGCTAGGCTAGGCTTGGCTTTGCTACATCTTTGGATCTAGACCAGGCCAGCCTTGGCTTTACTACATCTTTGGGATCCAGGCCAGGCCTTGTCTTTCCTCGGCTGACCTGGCTTACAGGTCTTAGCCTAGTTGAAACATCTTTGAATACAAGAGTTCACTTGTAGATCAGAATCAAAACCAAAACCCTTGACTGAAAGTTAGTTAAGAAATCATTTGTTAACATTCTTGAGTCCAAGCCTAAGTTCAGATTGCCATAAAAAATAGAAACGCTTATCTGGTGTATCAGTAAAGAAGTGTTTCCATTTTTGAGTTCAAAGTAGACGCAAGAAAAGATTTTTCACCTCTTGAACATAAGCTTTTCCATTTCCAAATTGAGTACGGTATTAAAAGCAATTTCACATGCAAATTTTGAATACCGTATCATTTGTTTCGAGATTTTCCTCACCTGTACAGCCCGCAAAATTCTAATACGGTTCTGCCTTGCATCGGGTAGCTAAAAATGTGAAAAGAAAAATGTTTTACGGGGTTAGAAAAGGAACTAATAGCTACAGTACTGGACAATGAAATATCATATTTGAAAAAAAACGATCGTCACTTTCGCGCGTCTGTAACTCCCTTGTCTTTGAGTTTAAACTAGACTTTGGAAAACAAAACTTAACCAAAACAGACCAAAACCATAACAAAACCAAAACTAACCAAAACTCGCCAATATCTCGCGATTGGGGAGAGCTAGCGAAAATCTGTTTGCAGATTTGAAATCAGCGTCCAAAAATCTATCCCATAGGCTATTTTTTGTTTCGAAATTTCGAGGTCGTGTTTTGGTCCTTTTTTCGGCCGCCAGATTTTGGGGAGTGAGAAAAAGTGAAAGGCAAGTTTGCATTTTACATTAAAATTTGCATCTTACAATTTTAAATTTACATGTTAATTTATATGAAAATTGAGTTTTGGTTTGTTTTGGTGTTTTGGTTTTGGTTTTGGTCTGTTTTGGTTTTGGTTTTGTTTGCCGAACTCTAGTTTAAACTATTAGTGTTATACATTTTTTTGAAAGCTCTTTTCAAGCGCTGCACAATGGTAATATTAATATTTAGAAATACGGTAAAGACAAGGGAGTTACAGACGTGCGAAAGTGACGATCGTTTTTCAAATATCATATTTCATTGTCCAGTAGTGTATGTTAATTTGGAAATATTCTTGATTTGCTTACATTTTAATATCTATATTGTGCTATATAGGGTGTAATGGTATAAATGAAAATTTAAATAGAAATTTCTCCTTTCTCTAACAAACCTCTTGTTTCTTTTCGATTAACAATCGCTGAATGATGATTCCGTTGAGGAAAAGGAGAATGAAAAACGGGAGAACTGTCTGGAAAACACTAATTTTATATAGATTTTCGACTTTACTTTTCTCAAGTCTGTTTCTCTACAAGCTACCATACTCTAGGACTTCAAAATAAAGCTACCGTAAGCTAAATTAGAAAAACTACATTACTAAGCTATTGTGAACTTATAAACTACCGTATTCTATGGAAAGATATTGCTTTTTAAATAGATTTCAAGACATTAGCCTTTTTTCCATTGGCTATCTAACTTTAAACTCAAATATCTTCGTGTTGGGCTATCCAATTGAAGCAGTTTTTGTACCAATCGGTAGAGAAAGATTTGGTGGATCTAATGATACCAAGAATGTTGAAATTGAACGCCCCAACACCGAGATATTTGAGCTCAAAGTTAGCTCAATGGCAAAAAGGGCCGGGCGTGTATAAAAGGTTTTTCCGGCTCCGCCCCTTTTGCCAATCCAACTTTGAGCGCAAATTTCTTGATTTTGGCTATCCAATTGAAATAGCTTTTGTACCAATCGATAGAGAAAGACTTGACGGATCTAATGATACCAAGAATGTTCAAATTGAACACCCCAACACAGAGATATTTGAACTCAAAGTTAGCCCAACGGCAAAAAGGCGCTTATCAAATGTGCGATCAGCCATCGCTCGCCTACCCAATAGCCAGGATTACGGTAGCTTTTTCATCTTTTAGAAACCCTGCATACAATCAATATAAACCTGTAAGGCAACGATGACGTGGAAATCGAAAACATAGTAGGGATGCGAGCTTCGCGCCCATTCCGTTGGGTAAACCGATTGAGAGCGGAAACGATCCGGGCATTGAGGGAATTGACGGACCTGAATTCGTTAGAAAACCTTTGTAAATACAAACTTCAGAATGATTGATAGATATCAATCATTCTGAGAAATCCGAGAAATTCCAGCCTTACCTCGACAGCAAAGAAAATCGGCATTCGGAGCGAAACGGAAATCGCGAAAATGATCACCGTCGTGATGCAACGACCCGCATCGGAGAAAACTGGTTTGAAGAAATCTCTAAATTCAAGAGTTTTCTTCTAACGATCAGTCAAAGAACTCAAAACCTAGCTGATCAACCTTTAAGCTGATCTAACTCTTTTTTCTCAATCCTAACCTCGTTTGAGCGGCTGATGTCCAAACGTAGCGCTCAAGCGTCGCCAAAATGAGCATAAAAGGGATCGCGAATTGGACAACCTGCAAAAAAAGATAGCATAATTGATGATAGTTGATGATAGTTGATGATAAAGTCTAGTTTTTCAGCTTTCAGCTAGTTTAACAACTTTACCTTTGACAAAAAGAAAACGACAACGATGTAGCGATGGTAGACGTTGAAGAGGAATTCATTCTTAAGGTAAACAAAACCTGAAAGTTTTTTTTGCAAGACCTGTTTACAAAAAAAAAAGCTTCAATACCAGCATCAACTCCAAAGAGAAGAATGTAGGTGAAACAAATCAAGGCATCCAAGAGTGAAAGAGCCGCCAAATAGACCGATGAGGGGAGGGAACGCTGGAAAACCGCCAACAGAAGCTGGAAATTCGATTAGTTTTAGATTTGATCTATGATTTGCTAGATAAAATTCTCTTTCTACTTTCTATTCCTTAGAATCATTTGCAACGGTTAAACCGCCTGATGATCGTGTCAATTCTTCCTGGGGAAAGTTTTAGGCCTCCTTACTTGAGTTCACTTTTCGCAGAGGCCCCAACTAGCGACGTGGTGCATTGCCAAAGCTGCTGGCTACGGGACTAGGTCCTGCTGGCTACGGGACTAGGTCCTGCTGGCTACGGGACTAGGTCCTGCTGGCTATGGGACTAGGTCCTGCTGGCTATGGGACTAGGTCCTGCTAGCTACGGGACTAGGTCCTGCTGGCTACGGGACTAGGTCCTCCTCACACAAAGTGACCATTGGCCGAGGGGATCGAACCAGAATCGTTTAGGTCCTTAGCCGCCAGCTTTGGCGATGCACCACATCGCTAGATTTTACTCCTTTGCGAAAAATGAACTCCACTAAGGCGGCTTAAACCTTGTAATCAAGATATAGGCCTCAAAAACTGAAAACGGATCAGCCGACTCTATAATATCGAGCCAAGACTGACCAGCTTAGCCAGGCCAGATCCAAGCTTGGAACTTTGACTCAAGTTTGTTGATCAGTTCAGATCAGCCAGATCGGGACTGGCTTCAGACGATGTCAAGGAAATTCTACTTTAGAACAGAATATGAATATTTCTAGCAGCTCCTAGTTACTTCATACAGTTTTTTGCAAATTCACTCACCAAATTGAAGAAGAAACCAAAAAAACTGATGGCCGAGACGGCGGTGATGATGAGAAACCGAGTAGTCGAGTATCCCTCAAAGAAACCGCACTCCCATTCCTCTTCCACGTTGATCGAGGGAACGGGATTTGAAGCAAAGGCCACCCCCGCCTCGATGTCCATAGAAATATTGAATCTATTTGATCTAAAAAGATCTATTGATTTGATTTAAAAAGTTTTAAGAGATAGAACAAGGTAAAAATAAGATCAAAGTACAGCAAAGCACAGCAAAAGGTCAAAGTCAATGTTGTTTGTTGTAGTCAATGTCAAAAGTCAATTGTTAAATCGGTAACTATTGCTGAGAGTTGATAAAGAGATTGAAAAATGTGCTGCTTATATTTTCAAATTGAACAATGTGCTGCTTATATCTTGTCTCTTTCCTTGCAACACTTCCGGGCGAATGATGAATGTTTTTTCAACTTTTTTCCAACAAAAATCCGCAAAATGCAAAGGGATAAGCATGTCAAAATAGAAGAAAATGAACAAAAGATTGAAGAAATGAAAGAAGAGAGATAAGTGGATGTAGCTAGCCTCAGGGGAGGGCCTGGACAAGGCTGAGGTCGGTGGTTGATGATGTGCTTCCTCGGATCTTCCTCTCCTATTTTCAAAACCCCTCTCCTGACCCTTTTTCAAACTAATCGCTTTTTTTCTCTTTTCTTAAAACTCAAACCTCTTCTCTTTTTCCGTCACAATTTTCAACTCATAACCAAAAAGTAATTTGATTACCTTTCTTGCTTTCGAAAATGGAATGAAAAACTGTTTTCGAGATGGAGAACTCGTGCCCAGTCTTGCAAAACAAAAACTTGAACCTATTGACAAGGAAAGATTGATGTGCAACTAATAGTAAATGAAAGTTAAACGAATTAGTAAGGAATAAGGTTATTCTGGCTGCAATCAGACACGCCATTTTATTGGGTTGGTGAATTGAAAAATTAGAAAAAGATCCCTAGCTGTAAAAGAGTCTAAAAGAGGAATCACAGCTACAGTAATCCTATCGTAACACTTTTTCAACAAGATTCATTGAATTCATTGAGATTCATTGAGATTCATTGAAAATTCAAGAGAAAACTGAAAGCTTTTCTCTGAAAAGTTCTCTAGAACTTCTCTATAAGCTATTGGGTTGATGAATTGAAAACTGCGGGACTTTGAACTAAAATTTATTCAACATAAAACCATGAATTCATTCGAAATAATTTCCATTATTATTGACGACTTCTGCCCATTTTACAGGCAATTTGCGGATTCCTCTTTCGTGGTAGGGTTTTGGTTTTGAATCGAAAAAGTTTCAATGCCAATTTTTGACTACTTCTTCCGAATCGAAGTGTTCTCCCGCAAGCTTATTACTCATGATCCGGAATAAATAGTAATCAAAAGGGGCGAGGTCCGGACTGTATGGGGAATGCGCCAAAAGTTCCCAAACAAGGCTATCTATTTTAGAGTGAGTCATTTTTTGAATTGAAAGCGAGGGTTGGTGAATTGAGAACTGCTGGACTTTGAACTAAAATTTATTCGACATAAAACCATGAATTCATTCCAAATAATTTCCATTATTATTGACGACTTCTGCCCATTTTACAGGCAATTTGCGGATTCCTCTTTCGTAGTAGGATTTTGGTTTGTGTGTGAGACAAGTGTGAGACTCAAAAATGGAGGACTGGAGATTTCCCAGTTTGAGCACTTTCTTCACTTTCTTCAAAAGAAACCCATTTTGGTGTCAATGGAAAAGTTGTAGAGAATCAAAAATCAAGCTTATATACAAATTTTCAGAAAGATTCAAAAACTGGTTTTCAAGAAATGCCAAATTTACGAATTTTTCACAAAACTTGCATTTTAAGCGAAACTACTAAGTGTATCTTTTTGGAAATTTGGCTATAAGACTGATTTTTGATTCTCTACAACTTTTCCATTGACACCAAAATGGGTTTCTTTTGAAGAAAGTGCTCAAACTGTCACATATGACAATAGCCCGTAGTTTTCAATTCACCAACCCAATAGCTCATTTGGTAAAGCGTTCGTCCGATAAGCGAGTTCGAATCGAAGTCGTGGGTTCCGATCCCAGCGTTGATCGTTTTGTTTTTAGAAAAAAAACTTGTGTCCAACTTGTTTGTAAATCATAGAATGACATAATTGGCTTGCTATCGAAGTTAGTTTACAAACAATTTGATCATATTTCGTTGATCAAATGGTCTAAATAGTTTAATCAGTTCCCTTTAGATAGTTGAGCAAATTAAATCAGAAATTTTGTTCTTGTTCAAAAACTCGGTAAAACTGAATAGATTTTAAATGAAGTCATGTAAAAACTGATCCAGGAATGTGTTCACGTGAAAGTTTAGAAAGAGATTCAAAATGAAACGAGCGGTAAACGAAGAGTTGGGTGTCAGAGAGATGTAACGGGACACCATAAAGTCTTGAGAGGTGCTACAAAAGTCATCACACTCTTCAGGCGGATCGATTTCCAAAGGTAATCAGCGTTCAAAAGTGTTTTAAACTTGGTTTAACTTGGTTTAACTGAATGCTTTCATTTAGAATTTTCATTTTCATCGGGGCTTTCATTTAGAATAGTTTATGATCTTAAGAAAAAACGTAAAGAGATTTTTGCACTCAATTCAAGCGATGAGAATCGATCAAGCGATGAGAATCGATCAACCGATGCTTTCTTACGTCAGAGCTCAGACTCAACTCAATCCACATTGTATCAAAAGTAGATGATACAATGTAGATTGAGATATGGGTGCTACAAATACAAGATCAGACTACAAACGCTTGTAGAAAGGAATAGAATGGCTATTTTTTATAAACTGTTTTTACGAAGAAATTGAGTCAACTTTGGGCTTTTGAATGATATAAAATAATGACATAAAGATTATGCTTACTTAACGCTTACTTAAAGCTTAATTTAAGCTTAATTAAAGCTAAAAAATACGCATTTTGAGTGTACGGATTCGGTCCAAGAAAGTTTCAATATAAATTGTGAGATATTGACGCTATAAAACTACAAAATTAGACTATAAACACTTGTAGAAACGCGTAAAATGGCTATTTTTATAAACTGTTTTTACCAAAAAATTGAGTCAACTTTGCGCTTTGATATAAATGATACAAAAACCAAGCCAATCCACCTTCTCTGCTCCGATAAGATGGTATTTACATCAATTTATATCAATTTATATCAATTTGTAGTCTCGTTCAATCGGATAGGACTATAAATCTTGGAAAAACTTTAGATTTCAACGGAGAGATCGTTAATTTGCCTAATCTTTATATCATTCTTATATCATTCAAAAGCTCAAAGTTAACTCAATTTTTTTTTTTGGTAAAAACAATTTATAAAAATAGCCATTCTACGTTTTTCTACAGGCGTTTGCAGTCTGATCTTGTTTTTGTAGCACCTATTTCTACTTTTGATACAATGTGGATTGAGTTGAGTCTGAGCTCTGACGTAAGAAAGCATCGGTTGTTCGATTCTCATCGCTTGAATTGAGTGAAACAATCTCTTTACGTTTTTTCTTAAGATCATAAACTATTCTAAATGAAAGCCCCGATGAAAATGAAAATTCTAAATGAAAGCATTCAGCTAAATAGTTTGATTTTGTAGCCTAATTTTGTAGCCTAACTTTGTAGTCTAATTTTGTAGCTTAATTTTGTAGTTTTATAGCGTCAATATCTCACAATTTATATTGAAACTTTCTTGGATCGAATCTTGGAGACGATCAACGCTGGGATCGGAACCCATGACTTCGTAGGCTCAAAATTCGTTTTTTTTTTTAGCTTTAAGTAAGCTTCAATAGAATAAAATGTCATAGTAAATGTAAAAAAAAAAGAAAATAATATCCGATGTGGGTTGGCAAAGAAAAGAAATGATAGAAGTAAAGAAGTAAAAATTTGGCTTCAAACTTTCCCCCCTTCAGTTCGCAAAGGGATTAGCCGATCCATTGCCATTCTATTCCCATTCTATTCCCGTTTTTATTCTCTTTTCATTGTTGCTTTGATTCGATTCAAAGAAGCCTATAAAGATAAATTTGTATCTAATCTCTTTTCAAAAAAAAAATAATGATAAATTGACTGAAATTCGATTAGAATGATAAAAATATCCTTAGAGAAGCCTTTGCTTACCAAGAAAAGAGTAAAATACGAAGAAATTTTTGCTATAAACCCTATAAACGAAATCCGGAATTGTTGATATTGTTCTTTTATGAGTCTAACACGAAAACGTGTACCTAATCAGCTAAAAAAAATCAGTTAAACCATTGAACCAAGTCGTTTCAAAGTAGTATGCGAGATGGCAAGCGACTAAATGTACTCAACACATGCAAAAGCTGAATCTTTCTTATCTGGAAGACTTTTTGCGTAAACATGCAATGCAAATTTTGGCCACGTTTTAGAATTTCAAATTCTTTGTATCGAAGTTCGACTGTCGTAGCCGATTATAAATTAAATTTTTTTTTTTGACAAACCTTTCGAGTAGGTCAACCCTTTAATGTATGAGGACAATATTATATTTTGTAGCGAATGAAATTCTGCCTCGATTGGTACCAAATTTGTGAGTTTAAGTTTAAAAAATTGCAACGGGCACTACAACGTTTCATTCAAAGTCGGTCCCCGTAGCTGATTTTGAATTTCAGTCGATTATGAATGAGTGAATCAAATGTAGAGAAAAGGAATCAAATCTGTAGAGAAAAGGAAACAAATCTGTAGAGAAAAGGAAACAAATCTGTAGAGAAAAGGAACCAAATGTACCAAAAAGGAACCAAATCTGTACCGAAAAGAAACCAAATGTACCAAAAAGGAACCAAATCTGCCGTGTCCAACCATCAAGTTTTTGGTATCATTCAATATTGATAAAAGTTTACCGTATTTTCTCTAATAGTAGTGCACCCCGGCGAGCCGAGTTGGCTTTTGCAGAAGCTTTTGCAGAAGCTCAACACACAAATCCCCCACTAGATCTCATCGTCAGCTACATTTTCCGACCCCACATCGATAGGTTCTGATAAGCGCTTTTCGAGATTTCGAGGAATTTAGGCGACGCTCTTGGTGCACTACTATTAGAGAAAGTACGGTAAGGACAATATTATATAATTTTGTAACGAATTAAATTGGTAGCGAATTTGTGAATTTAGGTTAAA